GCAGATGTTAAGAGACAATTCTCGGCCGGGCGCTGTGGCTCACGCCTGTAATCCTAGCTCTTGGGAGGCCGAGGCGGGCGGATTGCTCAAGGTCAGGAGTTCAAAACCAGCCTGAGCAAGAGCGAGACCCCGTCTCTACTATAAATAGAAAGAAATTAATTGGCCAACTGATATATATATATAAAATTAGCCGGGCATGGTGGCGCATGCCTGTAGTCCCAGCTACCTGGGAGGCTGAGGCAGAAGGATCACTCGAGCCCAGGAGTTTGAGGTTGCTGTGAGCTAGGCTGACGCCACGGCACTCACTCTAGCCTGGGCAACAAAGTGAGACTCTGTCTCAAAAAAAAAAAAAGAGACAATTCTCTTTAGGTATCTTGCATTTCTGTACATCTTATAAGCAGAGTGACTGACTGCTTTTTCTTCTGGACTATCTCTTCAAGGATGTTTATATAGCAAACAGCCATGTAAGACAAAGATAAAAGATAGTCTTTTCCTCTGGAGGAAAGTGCAGGTTTTTGTATAGCCTTAGACAAGGATCCTCAAACTTTTTAAACAGGGGGCCAGTTCACTGTCCCTCAGACCATTGGAGAGTGCGCACTGTGGGCCCGGGATGAGTCGGCTGCTAAGCAGGACAGGCAGTGGTGGCAAAAACACCCGGAGGGCCGGATAAATGAGCTAGGTGGCCTGTATGTGGCCGGCGAGCCGTAGTTTGAGGATGCCTGCAAGATAGAGGTGTTGTCTCCCTCCAGAACAAAGGGCGGATATGCTTACTGTCCAGTCTAATAAAGATAATATCTCCTCTGAGATGAAAAGGCAGGGATGCTTATTACTCATTATGGAAGATTTGGGTTCCGTCAGGGTTCTTCTATTGATGTAATGTAACCCACTGAGTGTACAAGTGTTACCTGGCCCATGTTGTGTCACCCTTTGGGATTTGGGGCTTAGGAAACTGGTGCAAAAATGCTGTTGTTCTGGCTTCTGTTACTGCTGTTGAATTATATACTTCCCCTTGTCTCTAACCAAGGCATCTCATATCTTTACCAACATCTATGAAGCTGTGGCAGGCTAACCTGTCAGCTTGCAAGAAGGATAAAATCTCAAATCCTAAACAATTCTTGCTAACAGATTTCAGCAATATTTGGTTAACTTGGCTGGTATGGTGTGATGTAGCTGGTACTGTGGGGGTGAAGAGAAACTTCCTCTTGCCCCTCAAAAATTCAATGAAAGGTCAACTCACAATTAAGGCAGATTAATAAAAGGAAGATGTTTATTTACCATGCATATGGGGAGAATCACAGAGCGATTATCCAATATCTAAATGGGATCCAGATATATTTATACCTGCCTTTTAGAGGGGAGGAGGAGATGAGGAGTATAGGTAATTTTGTTTAGGGGCAATAAATGGTTGCTAGGGAGGATGAATGGATGGGGCTAACAAATTGATTTATAAATGATTCTCTTTGCAAATTAAATTAACCCAGAGAAAGAGGTATTCTGTTTTAAATGATTTGGAACAGATCTGGTTGCATTCTTAATTTTCTTTCCTGCAATATATTGAGGTAACAGTGAAGCCCCTTCCAAGGGCCTATTGATCTCTAAGGGCATTTTTTTTCTCTCCTTGAGGCAGGGTCTCACTTTGTCGCCCTGGCTAGAGTGCAGTGGCATCAGCCTAGCTCACAGCAACCTCAAACTCCTGGGCTCAAGCGATCCTCCTGCCTCAGCCTCCCAAGTAGCTGGAACTACAGTAATGCACCACCACCTCTGACTAATATTTTCTATTTTTAGTAGAGATGGGATCTCACTCTTGCTCAGTCTGGTCTCAAACTCCTGGTCTTAAGTGATCTACCTCAGCCTCCCAGAGTGCTAGGATTATAGGTGCAAGCCATCAGACCTGGCCTCTAAGGGCCTTTAATCCAAAATACTCTTTATACCAAGGAGTTGTATTTTAGGGTGAAATTTTCTGAGCTCCTTCAGTACACTCATCTCGGCAAGGAACTCTTTTACCTCCAGTGGCTGACCAGCATTTTGGATATACATGGGGACCTTGTGAACATATTCTCAAGGGAAGAAGCCAATGGACATCATAGGGTTGGAAGTAGAAGACGGGATGACATCTAGAATCTTTAGCCAAATGTAAAATAAAATAAAATCTTTTTAATTGATTAATTAATTTCAGGATATTATGGGGAATATAAACATTTTGGTTGCATGTTATGACTTTGCCACACTCAAACCATGATTTGAGGCATACCTTTTCCCCACTACAATGCTCACTGCATCCGTTAGTTGTGAGTTGACCCTCCCTAACCCCCAAAATCCCTTAAGAATATTACTACCGTGTGAGCACCATAGTGCTCATCAGTTAGTGCCAAATTGATGGCGAGTACATGTGGTGCCTCTTCTTCAATTCTTGTGATACCTCATTTCGGAGGATGGGCTCAAGCTCTATCCAGGAAAATATACGAGGTGCTAGATCACCATAGTTTCTTATTGTTGAGTAATATTCCACTGTATACATATACCAAATTTTAATAATCCACTCATGAATTGATGGACACTTGGGTTGTTTCCACATCCTTGCGATAGTGAATTGTGCTGCCATAAGCATTTGGTTGCAGATGTCTTTATTACAGAATGTCTTTTTTTTCTTTTTGGTAGATACTTAATAGTGCTATTGCTGGATCAAATGGTATTTCTATTTTCAGCTCTTTGAGGTATCTCCAAATTCTTTTCCACAGAGGTTGCACTAATTTGCAGTCCCACCAGCAGTGTAAGGGTGTTCCTATCTCTACATATCCTCACCAGCACACCAGCATTTGTTGTTTGGGGAATTTTTTTTTTTTTTTTGAGGCAGAGTCTTACTTTGTTACAACAGCTAGAGTGCTGTTGTGTCAGCCTACCTCATAGCAACCTCAAACTCCTGGGCTCCAGCAATCCTTCTGCCTCAGCCTCCCAATGTTTTGGGATTTTTTGATAAAGGTCAATCTCACTGGGGTTAGGTGATATCTCATTGTGGTTTTGATTTGCATTTCTCTAATGATTAGAGATGTTGAACATTTTTTTATATGTTTGGTAGCCATTATTCGATCTTCTTTTGAAAAGTTTCTGTTTATGTCCTTTGCCCATTTAATGATGGGGTTGTTTGATTTTTTTCTTGTTGATCTTTTTGAGTTCTGATTGATTCTTGTTATCATCCCTTTATTGGATGTGTAGAGAACAAATGTTTTCTCCCATTCTGTAAGCTGTCTATTCGCTCTGATGATAGTTTCCTTGGCTGTACAGAAGCTTTTTAATTTCATCAGGTCCCATTTATTTATTTTTGTTGCTGCTGTGATTGCTATGGACGTCTTCTCCAAAAATTCTTTTCCTAGGCTTATGTCTGAAAGGGTCTTCCCTACATTTTCTTCTAGGATTCTTAAGGTTTCATGCTTTAGGTTTAAGTCTGTTATCCAGTGTGAATTGATTTGTGTAACAGGTGAGAGGTGGGGATCCAGTTTCAATCTTCCGCGTGTAGTTTTCCCAGCACCATTTATCAAAAAGAGATTCTTTTCCCCAGTGTATATTTTTGTCTGCTTTGTTGAAGATTAGATTACTATATGTGGATGGTTTCATCTCTGGATTCTCAGTTCATGTTCCAAAGGTCTATATATCTGTTCTTGTGCCAGTTACATACTGTTTTAGTTACTATAGTCTTGTAGTACAGCTTGAAGTCTGGTAGGCTGATACCTCTCAGTTTGTTCTAAAGTAAAATCTTAAGGCTTCCCCCCACTCCCACCAGCTAACTGAATGAACCTCCTCCTGGCTGAGGGGATATCCTAAAACCAAGTTGCCTTCCATGAGGAGAGAGGTCAGACATGCCTAATCATGCCCCCCTCCCTTCTTGGAGACATCTTTTGTAACTCATTAACAGGCCTAAGGCTATGCAAGACAAAACTACAGGTCCTCAATTTACACACCAAATATATGTCCAGTGGCTTAACTGGACCTCCTTATCTTAAAATATTCCAAGACTAGAGAAAGCTTCATGTCTTTAACCAATTACAAGTCAAAAATCTTTAAACTCACCTGTAATCTCTAAGCCCCCCCCCTCCCCGCCTTGAGATGGCCCACCTTTTCAGGCCAAACCCATGTATGCCTTCATGTATTGATTTATGACTTTACCTGTAACCCCTGTCTCCCTGAAATGTATAAAACCAAACTGTAACCCAGCCACAGCGAGTCCACTTGCTCAAGACTTCTTGGGCATGGCTCCGTGTCATGGTCCTCAAATTTGGCTCAGAATAAGCCCCTTTAAATTATTTTACAGAGTTTCGCTTCTTTTCCATTGACATAGAGTACTGATAACCCTCACTTGAATGGAGGTATGGACAAAAGCTATAGAGGAAGAAGGAGGGAGAGTATGTAGGCAGAGGAAAAAGATTCCATGAAGCTTCATAACAGCCTAAAGTCATTCATGGTTATTGAAGCTGTAAGTCACAGTGCTGACACCTATCATACTGAAGTTTATTAACTTTTTTTTTTAGCCAAGAGTACCCATTTTTATGAGCACTCTGCTTTGGCATCTTAATGCCTTATTTAGTGTGCTCATATTGGGTGCTGGTGGCTGAATGTGAGCAGGCTTGTTCCTGGAGAAGACAGGATGGCAATGTCTGGCATTTTTGGTCACTCTGCTTATGTCCCCCTTCTCTCATCCTCCAGCTCCTCCAGGGGCTTTAAACCTTTAAACTTAAATATGCCTTTCAGATTTATTAAAGTATTTCCCTACCACCACTCAGGCAACTTTAATCACATGCAAGGCTGGTCACAGAGTTCTGGACCTCAGAAGTCTCAGCTCCCTCAGACTTCTTCAAAGTTGGGAAGTACTCATGCTGCCTCCTAGGACCAGCCCTTTGCCCACTTCTCCACTGCAGGAAAGCATTTAGGGTTGTTACTGAGATAGGTTGTATCTTTTTACTTGTTAGCCTCATGATGAAATAATTATATTTTATTTCATTCCATAGGGACTTTTATCCGGCGGCATCGGATTCCTCTCCCACCTCCTGATGAGGATCAATTTTATACTGTGGATCATTTCAATATTGGCATCGACATTGTCTTCTATGGCCGGACATTCAAGATTTATGACTGCGATACATTTACGCAAAACTTTTTGAGGAAATTAGGAGTCAAATTAAATCCTCCTGGACAATGTCCAGAAGATCCTTACATGAAGACACGGAAAGAGGTAAGAAGTTGATACATTTGTTAGCACTTATCTTCAGAATGAGAATCCCTTTGGAGAGTCAGTAAAGGGTATTTGTGCTCCTGATACAGATGTGAAAGAGCTGTTAGTACCATATTTATGCGAGTTGTCCTGTTCTCCTTTGGGCTAGAGGGAAGGCCCAGTGTCAGCCTAAGGGAAGGAATGACTCCCTCATTGCCTCCCCCCAATTCCCTCCATAGAGAGTCTCCCTTCCAGGGAGTAGGAGTCTTCAATGAACTGCTCAGGTGTGACACAGTCTGGGTGCTCAATCACAATTGGCTTTGTGGTCACTGACAGTGTATGAGTTGTGCCCACACTTACTTGTCTTTTCTCATTTTAGTTGCCTTGCTCCAGCTTAGAAAATCTTTGCTTCTATAGTACTTGTTTAGCAAATCGTGCCTTGGGTACACCTTTTTTATTCCTCCTAGAGTCTCCCAGCTCCTCTTATGGTGGCGCTGGATGCTGAGATGTTCTAGAAGAGTAAGAAGGGCCATGATTCTGATGTACCCCGATTAGGAAAGGATGCTTGTCTTCAAGGTCTGATCCCAGTTAGTGTAGAGAATAAAGACTCACTATTACTAGTATTATTGTTGTTTTTCTAAAGGTTTTTTTTTTAATAATCATATTAATAGCTCACTGTAATCTCAAACTCCTGGGCTCAAGCAGTCCTTCTGCCTTAGCCTCCTGAGTAGCTCAGACTACAGGCCTGTGCCACCATGCCAGCTTAACTTTTTAAATAATATTTTGTGGAGATGGAGTCTTGCTAAGTTGCCCAGGCTGGCCTCAAGCGATCCTCCTGTCTTGGCCTCCCAAAGTGCTGGATTATGGGCATGAGCCACCGCACCCAGCATCCCTATTCTTTTTTATTGAAGTATGATTACACATAGGAAAATACACAGAAATTAAGTGTACTGTTGGGTGAGTCTTAGCAAATACCATACCCTTATAACTTACCCTCAAATCAAGATATAGAACATTTCCATCCTCCACCCCCCACAAAGTCCCTCATGCATTTTTCTAATCACTTCTTCTCCCCACCCAGGGACAACCTCTGTTTTCATTTTCATCCCCATAGATTAGTTTTGTCTGGTTTTTTAATTCTTTTTAAAACTTTTAATTCACTTCCTTGCAGAACAATAGCATAAAATTTAGAATAAAATTCTTCTTTGATTCTGCTTTGATCTCTTGTTAAAAGCCACATGTAGGATCATTCATCTCTTCCTGCCTCCTAGCCCCAGCAGAATTATTCTTTAATGTTGTAGGCATACAATCCTCCAGAGAAATATATATATATATATTGTTGATCCTAGAATATCTACGGTGAAATGCCTGTGTACCAGTATACAAAGAGATTTTTTGGTTTGAGTTCATTTTTATTTTTTCTCAATGCCCTGGATGAAAGAGTCTAGGTAAATAAAAAGTCTTTAGAACCAGCAGAGAGAACCTGAAGGCAATGGATCAGAATGAATTACCACCCTTTGCATATGGCTACACTCATTCACTAACAGTTGGTATTATATGATAGTGACTGTGAATGATGATGCATTATATGAAATCACATAGAGCACTGTGGGATTTCATAGGTTTATAAAGATCTTTTTCAGGTCTTTTGTACCAGGAATTGGGAGTAAATACTAAGAACAGCTAAGAAATGTTTTAAATAATTTCCTTTCAGATTGGGAGAATAATTTTACCATTTATTCCCCCAGGGAGAAAATTCTTCAATAAATATAGAAATCTTTGGAAAATTAAGAGCTTAATAAGAGGCTTTTATGTTGAATTTTATGCATGTAATTCTTCAATGTTTGCTGCCTTGAACTATAAAGCTAAAATTAAACAATTTAACTTAAACTGAAAAGAGCCCCAATGGTATATAATCAATAATGCATTTCTTAGAGGCCTTATGACACTAAAGGAAAATTTTTCAATAGATTGATGTAGAAGTCCCATAATTTCATTTAAATATCAAGGATAAGACTGCAGAGTCTCTGGAAAGCCATTATATCTCCCCTCTGTCTTGGGGTAAGACTGCACCTAGACTGGCCTGGACAGATAAGAAATTTCAAGAATTCACAAAAAGATTGCATAACCTTATTTGGGACAACATCTCCCTTGCCAATGAACACTTTCTTATATAACAATCCTATTTGGCTACATCAGATAGAATGGGGCCAGTTTGCTTCAAGACAGGGCTGAGAACATGCAAACAGAGGGAAGAGTTGCACTGAGAAAACTGTGGAGCTAGTGGTTCCTGGGCCAGAGGACAGCTGAGGCAGAGTCTCTGTGTGGATTGGAAGTTTTCCATTTACCATGCTCCTGTTTCCACTGGGCTTTCATAGCCTTGATATCTAAAGATTTTAGTGCAAAATAAAACTGTGAATATAATTCTTCCATTTTACCTTCACAAAAATCTTTGAATGAATAAGAAGGATATGCAGATATCAATTTCCAGCAAAAAGACAAATTATTTTTTTGGTTGAGCTATAATTAACATGAAGTAAAATAGAGTCAAATGCAAAAGTCTTAAGTGTACAGATCAACTAGTTTTGTAAAATGTATGCAGTTGAGTAACCAGCACAAAAATCAAGATGTAGACTATTTCCATTACCCCAGAAAATTCCTTTGTTCCCCTTTTTGGTCACATACCTTGCCCAGAGGCAATTATTGTTCTGATTTCTGTCATCAGATATTAGTTTTATCTGTTTGTAAACAGTAATTTTAAGTCTTTGAGAAAATTCAGTTTTCAAAAATAATATAATAGTGTATTAAAATAATGTTTAATATGAAAAGCTTCTTAATACTTATTTGTATTCTTAAGGTTAAAACTGGTTATAGATGCATATGTATATATGTCATAGTCAGTTGAAATTTGCTAAAATATAACAGAATAGTCTATAGAAAACATTTTAATGTATTTGTCATTTAATTTCATGCACCCCAAAAATGAGTATGCAAAATCTATGACTATTATTGACATTTTCCCCATTTGCAGACGCTGGAATGCACAGAGCCCTTACGTCCCTATGAGCCCTTCGACACCCTGAGACAGTTCCTCGAATATGATGGGAAGGTTTTGCGTTTCTTCTGCCTGTGGGATGACTCAGCCTCATTGTTTGGGGACCGTAGAGAACTCATCCTGCATTATTTTCTGTCTGATGACACTATTGAAATCAAAGAACTGTTGCCACACAACTCAGGCCGGGATGCTATGTCACTGTTCCTCCGGAGGAGTAAGCTACCCAAGGTGAGCAGTGGCCACAGGACCACTTTCCATGTTTGCTTGTGGGCCACGAAACTTGAGTCACTGTTTGGATTGTGGTGTGTTACAACTATGTGATGACAGTTGCCATATACTAGTGCAAGTATTTAGAAAACTTCCATTTTGTATTCTCTATTAATATACATCTGTGAAAGTAATACAGAGAATATGATAAATTAGAGTTGGAACATTCTGAACTTAAGGCAAGTAAAGGAAAAAAGTCAAATGTAAGAGAAAGTACCTATTCATCATTGAGTTCACAATCAGTCTTATGAAAGTAAAGATTGCCTAGTAAAAGAATTACTCATGGCTTTAGATGAAGCACTGGTGTGTCACCCCTGTAGCCTACAAAGGAGAGCCTATGATGTTAGTCTGGGTGATGAATACACACACACACACACACACACACACACACACACACACACATGCACTCACGTGTGTATGCACATGTGCACACACAAACATACACACACAAGCTTATGCAAGGGATACTCTTCTGAGTGTGGCAACTAGTTACCACTTAGCCACTAGCTAGTGCCAATGATGGCTTTTGCATATTATTTACTATTGAAAAGAGTTGTCAGACTGATTTCTACAAATATTTATGGCCATTTGAGAGCTAATGTAACTTGGGTGCAGCAGAAACAGAACAGAGACAGGAGACCTGTATTAAAATTGTTGATCTGCCCCTTTATAGCTGTGCGACCCTGGGCAGACTCAGTCACTTAACCTGTCTGAGCTTATTTTCCCATTTCTAAAATTTGATAATATAGTAAAAAACACTGTCTGAGGACCTATAAACACATATAAAGACATATGAAAATATAATAGTTTTTTCGATAGCTCTATGTTATTTTTTATTTCTTATTTGAATAAAGTATCTTTTAATTCTTAGTGCTCCTGAAAAGGTTACCATAACACTCATTTCTGATGCAAACAACTGCTGGCCATTCGGTCCTCACAGGAGGCTTTCCCAGATTCTCTGAGCCCTCTGCCAGAAGCCCTGCCATGTTGCTTGGAGGCAAGGGAGCAGAATTTGTCCCAGAGGGAGCTCTGGATATGAACAGCAGGCAGCCAGGAGGTGCCAGCGAAACATGTTTTTAGAATGGTTTTGAAAAATAGGATAAATATAAAATAATAATGGCACACCTGACATTTTAAATGTACTTTGACATCAATTGCTTCACTTTATTAATTCATTCAACAAATATTTATCGAGTGTCAACTGAATGCCAACTCTGGGGTTACAGTGAGAAAGAGAATGTATTAAGTCCTACTACACTGTTTTAACTTTGTCTTCCAGTATGGCCCACCTGGAGTCCATCAACCAGGCCAGATAACAGATCGAACAGTTCTTAATGTGTACGGTGGCTTGACAGAGACCCAAGTGATTGGCTTCCTGTTGGATAAATACAAGGCAAGGAACCTTATGTTTTATTACCATTTCCAATGTGACTTCTCTGGCACCTAAATAGTGGGGCAAGTTACATATTCTTCTCTGAGGAGTTTATGAATGAAATTGATAAATACATAAATATATGTATTATACTGCTATTCATCAATAATAAACATGCTTAAATGCATTGCTATTTACAAACACTGCAGTGCTAAAATAATGCTTTAGAATATTAATATCAACTGATTGCCTTTTGATTTGATTTTATAAATTTAGCTATAAGTGACATGATTAAAGTTTTTTTAATTTTTTTTTTCCTCTGGGAAGGGGTGCCTAGTTCTTTGGAGGGTCCATGGTGCCAATGCTATCTTCCTTTGTTTTTATTAGCTAGAAAAATTAGAGCAAGAGTTTTACAAAGATAGTGACCTGACCATAGGCACCACCATCAATGTGTGGGGAAGGAAAGTGCTCCTTTGCGACTGTGATGAATTTACGAAGTCTTATTATAAGTCTAAATATGGAATAGGTAAGTGATACATATGTCAATTAGAAATTATTTAAATACTTAGAGTCTTTGTTTCCCAGTTAAGATTTAACTTCGAGGTTTCAAATGCTAGGCCTGTAATAGCTACCATTTATTTTGCATTTGCTATCTTCCAGGCGTTTGTTGTCTTATATATTCCTAACAATTCTCTGTGGATAGACTCATTGTCCCCAATAAACTGAGTTACAGAAACTGAGGCTGAAAAGGGGCTCATTTGTCCAAGGTCATGCAGCGATCAAAGGAGGAACCAAGATTTGCACTTGTCTGCCTGATGCTAGGGGCTTCCATTTTCCCTTGTCCTCTGCCTTACTACAATATGGGGTAAATGTTTTGAGGGAGCAGTTGAAATGGAAATCTCTATGTTTTCCTCTTCATTTAATTCTTGCTTATCACAACAGATATACTTATTTGAGTTCCCTAGGGAATTCTTGTCTGCCAGTTTGCTCTACCTTTCCTGGTAAGGCTCAACCTGGTATCCAGCTTCTCTCTTCTTAGCTATCAATTCCATTCTGATCAAGTTAATTCAGTTTGGAATGAAAACCACTGATTTATTAAGCACCCACTATATGTAGGTCATTGCAGTAGACTTAGAAGAGACAGAGTTGTGTAAGGGGTTTCTAGGCTATAAGGACAGCTAAGACAGACAGCATGTGACACCGTGTTGTGAGAGTCCTGGGAGCAGGCAGAGAATGTGATGTGAAACCTAAAACACAAACCTTCATTTGTTAAACTTTCACTTACAGTCACCTGAGTACCTGCCAGCCAACCCCTAGGCCTTCTACCTGAGACTCCAGGTACCTGCTGCTGCTAGGAGTGGATGGGAGTTGCTGGCCTCCCACACTGAAGCTTATAGCTGGGGTTGGGGGTGTTTAGTCCTGTACATCTCTCTGAACCTTGGTGTATTCATATCAACACACTTTCACAAGGGGGTGAGATGGAAACCAGAAGCAACAACAGCTTCTTAAAAGACAAAGTGCTTTGTTTCTAGAATGAGGTGAGGCCCACTCATAAGACATAAGTGTCTTTTTATCCCCACTGTATAGCATTTCTGGCCTCCTGGGAATCTTTATATTGTGAGAGAAAGCACACAAAGCACACAAATGGGTTAGAATAAAAAAGACTTTCAGTTTCATTCTTAGATTCATTAAGGGAATTTGTTCCATTGCATCTACATGCTAGATAGTCAAAATGTGTGGGTCCTATAGGGCCCAAATTAGTAGCCTCTTCTTATTTTATTTTCCAAAATTCATTCCCTTTAGTGGACACAGTTGAGCATATTTGCTTTGGGGGCTATTGATAAGAGGCAGTAGGAATGTGTAGATGGCAGCTGCTATGGAGAAGCTGCTAGTGGCCTTTAGACTGTAGGGCAGAAGAATTTGGCCTTTAATAAATATAGATGCCTGTTTAGAATCAATAAGTGTTCAGTGTAGACTGAAAATTGGAAAAAATACATATATAAAAAATGGGTCACTAAAACCTGTAACTTACACTCGAAGATTACCTTAATATAAAGGATGTGGTAAAAGATTACAAGATTACCTTGAGATAAAGGGTATGGTGAAGGTACCAAAGAACTATATGATTCTTTAAACATAAAGTCCAACTTTTGGTTGAAGTTTATCTGTTAGCTTGATTTCGCGAATATGAGAGTTGCATTTGGGAAAATGAATTTCATACTGGAGAGACTTGGTACGGTGTCTTAGTGGCTTCTACAGATTTTCTGAGGCAATGTGAATTCCCTAGTGTGCTCCAAATCTAGCTGTCCTCGGTAAATGCATTAGCTTTGAATGTCCTATGGTCCATTTTAATTGAGTCCTAGTGCTTAATTTCTTTCTGTTCACTTCTTTTGTTCACTCTACAGACTCATTATATTATGTATAAAAAGTAGCCTGTGTCTTTAAAGCTAATATAATGTGAGGATTATGCATTTAAACAGAGAATTATGCAAATGCAAAATTATGATGCATTTCATAGTCACACTGACTTTTTATATTTCTCATAACATATGTTAAAATATCCTGTTTAACAGACACTATTATTACACAATATTGCTTGAGTTACAACAGTGTACTTAATGTAACTAAAGACTAGAAATTATATAATATCTATGATGAGGTGGAGGGGAGTGAATCTGTAGTCTCTGATAATCTTTACATTTGCTTTTCCTGATTTTTTTGGTAAGGTTAAATTAATATACTTAACGTTATTTAGATAGAGTTATTTCTTGAATTTTAATTTTGTTTATAATTTGGTCCTAAAAATTCATAAGACTAAATTTTGTGCATTATGTTTTAGTATCTTTCAAGCCTAAACCTGGACAAAGTCTCATCAATAACTGTGGTTCTGCCAATAATTGTGGTCACATTATCTCCCTTGTCAATAAATGCGGTCAGTCAAAAACCTGGGTGTCTCCACTGTGCAGCACACAGGAAGGAGCTGACAAATGTCAATACCATAGCTGGGGACTTCTCTAGCAGGAAGCCAGGGAGAGATTTCTATGCAGTATGCACCCTTGGTGCTTTAGTACCTTCTTCTATCTAATGACACCCAGCATATTTTTGGGAGAAAAAATGGCAGACAAAGAGAAAGGGTTGACCACAGTCCCAAGAATGGTGCATGGATAATCTTTCTATAATATTTATGTAGAAGTGGAGGGCTTGATAAAATTCCAAGAGACATTTGAGCCCCTGTGTAAAACCCAATCTCTTAAACAGATAAGATTCTTTTATGCCTTTAAGGATTCTAAGGAGAAGGTGATTCCACAGATTTCTTCCATATAACAGTGCAGTGTGACCCCTCCATCAGGCAGCTTTGCCATTCTACTGGCCCTGGCTTGCCTGCTGGGCTATAGCATGTCACATCCTCATTATTTTATATGAATGAACACGAACTGGCAGATGAAGGTCTGTTGGTCTTTCCTATAGTATGAAGGTTGGAAATGGCTCCAGGGCTTCCAGCAGGTGTTTCTTTCACTAAAGGAGCAGAGATTTGAATGCAAACTGTTCTTACCTAGAAATTTCTGCCTTGGGTTATTATTTCTTTGTTTATAGAACATTCTTATTATTGGTTCTTAGGGGCTGGGATAACCAAACTAGTAACTAGACCATTCATTCCCATTGCTTTTGAACACTTACTAGGTTGTACTGAGGTTAGGTTGAAAAACAACAATAAAAAATCTAAAAGCACCTTTAATTTTGTTGTGTCATTTCTGACCATCTCTGAACTTTTGGTGCTGGATGCAGAAGAACATCCAAGACGAGAGTTTAATGATCATTTGAGCAAATTGGCTACCCTAAGTTGCAGCAACACAATAGAATTGGCTTTTGGTCTCACCATATGGCTTTGATGGACCTAACAATTTTGCTTCTTTTACCTCTCCTATAAAGTGAATATGGTTGAAGATTAGAGGATTCCTAAGGATTTTATAGCTCTAATAATATGTGATTCACTAATTTCAGTTTCACTGAAATCATTTGGCCTGGGTATTGAGTACAAGCAGAGGTGAATTTACCCTGAAGCTAATGAAGCTTAATCTTTAGGGTTCTTCCTTTGTAGGGGCCCCAGACCAAAGCCTAGCCTCATTTTTTCTTAATAATTTGGCAATCTTTGTCTTGAAGAGCTTTGCCTAAATTATGTAAGCTTCAGGCCTCCCCAAACCTGGATCCATCTCTAGGTTCTAGAACAGAAGAGATGAACTTGGAGGTAATTGAAGGCTTTTCCCAATAGTGCTTCCAACTGAGATGGTGAATAGAAGATCACCATGAAAGAGCATTAAGGATATATCCTTGTAAGGATATATCTTCTCTCTGCCAATTTGTTGGAATCTAGTCAGTCATGGATAGGCATTTAATATATGTTTTTACAAGTTACTTGGAATTAGAGAAAATAGACTATTTGAAAGACAGATGTGTCTCAAGATCTCACAGAGAGCCAGTTTAAGAAGACATTTGGGGAAGATGCTTTGTACAAAAATGTATCCTTTTTCATGTATTCAACAAATATTTGTGAATACCTGAAACATGCAGGATGCTGGGATGATGGAAAACCAAAGTCAGGAAACTTTTCATTCAGATGCAAGTCCAAAGCTTTTTGAATGTATGTGAATTACCCAGAGAAATATGATTTAAAGTTGGATCTTGAGCTAGGGTTTCCAGGAAGATGTATGCGATGTTATAAAAGTTGGGCGTGATGAAGGGGAACAGTTCTTAGCTTTTATACACTAGATGGCACTGTGGGTGCAGAGGAAAGCTCTAAACTGGTTCTTTTGTTACTTAAATCTGTTGAAAAATTATGTGGTTGAGGAAACAACACTGTGTTATAAAACCTATAATTTTGTGGGGAGGTGTAGAATGCATTCTTAATTACTTTGTAATTCAATACGTGTCCCCTTTTGGTTAGACTTCTCAGATTGGTATGTAGAGTTATATGTATATGTCCCCTGTTGTAAGAAACTGCTCTTGCCCCAATTTTCTAATAATCACATAGAACTCTCGTGCCATGGCTATGCTGCTATTCCTGAAATGAAGGTACCAAACAGTGGTGTGTTCGATATAGTTGTTGGCAATGATAGACCCTACTGCAATTCTGCCTAATTCCAAGATTTGAACTTTCCTCTTTATTCCCAAGATTTTTCTTTAATCACCACAAAAATAGCAATAGGAGAGGCTCACAAGTCACTCTGTACCAGCATATTGTCTGCTCCCTTTCACTGAGCCTGTGAGAAATATCTGATGGTGTTCTCTTTGTCAACATAGCTGCCATGATCAGTTTCTCTTAGGATACAACAATACTCTTTGGGAGATTATGCTTGGGGAAATTTCACACAAAGTCTCCTAGAAAGTCTAAGGAAATATGAAAGCTGAAAATGTTTTCAAATCAGAGTTAGAAATGGCCTCCCAAAAAAGGAAAATAAAAGAAAAGAAACCACTTTAATGTTAATAATTAGGTTGTCTTGGATGGCAAATTGATACACATTTTCTCTTATGGAGGTGTGCATTAAAATTTGTACTCTTCCTTCTGTTAGAACTTTGACAGTGGAAAAGAACATCTTTGCTTATGTGGAACTCCTTTCATTCACAAATGGTAATACCTATGTTATACTCAAGCTTGGAGAAGAAGTAGAAGGTGGACTCTGGGGATTTTTTGTTTCTTGTTCTGTTTTAAGAAAGATCCTGGCATCTTCTTTGCTATTTGTGCTAGGGGCAACACAGTGACTGGGATAGATCTGGTGAATATGTTATTTGCTCTGGGGAGCACAGTTGCTTCTAAGAGATTGCACAGTCTTGCACATGAGTACCTAAAAACTCCTGGTTATTACAGATATGTCCCCAGCTTTCTCCCATCTCTCCTTCCTCACAGATGATAAGTAAATAAATAAAATCAACAGCATTTACCACTTAGCACTTTCTTTGAGAGAGTAGGCAGTTGGCTATTTTAAAAGTTTGTGTTTATTTTTTTGGTTTTGTTTCATTTGTTTGCTTCATCGCATTTGAGTAGGATTGTAATCTTTTCTTGGGCAAAAACAAGAGCGACCTGCAGCAGTGGCTGGTGAGAAGAAGGAAGTTTTTTTTTTGGATTTGTTTTTGAACTAGATAGTGAAGTGCCATGACCTGGAGTTAAGTTGGAGGCAAGGAAGAAAACTCATAAAGTGAGTGCTGGTGGATGGGGAATGGGGAATGGTGAAGGGGAATAGTCAAGAGTCAGTCCTGTTTGGAGAAGTATTTTATTAGTGAGTGTTGACTGAGATAGGAGAGGGCTAAATTACAGGTTAAAATGTGGAATGGGTGGCATAAAGTTTCAAGTTTGAATTTTCATATTATTGGAAAAATAGGGAAGAACAAAAAAATATTCAGAAATAGAGATGTGATGACAAATGATAAATGTTTACTTATTCAACACATTCCTTTTATTCCCCCCATTTGAACCAATGGCAATTATTGAGTTCTGTGGTTTTTGTAAACATGATTGAAACCTACTCTCACAGGATTTTGCTGTGTTTTGTTTGAAAGAGTTTAAAATAGTCTACAAAGGTCTCCACGTTCATCTTGAAAACATAACAAACCTTTCAAAACAGCCCTAATCAGGGCAAAAAAAAAAATATTGATGTTTTGTTTGCCTTTGTTTTGTTATAGAGAACTTTACCTCGATTCAATGCAAGGCTCCTCCCCCTCCAAGAATAGAAAGGAAATTTCCACCTTATACTGGCTTTGGTTCTGAAGAGGATTCTCTCCGCTCCTGCGTAGGTCTCATCCCCACACCGCATAAGAAGAACTTCAAGAAGTTCATGGAAAAAGACAGGTGCTTGAGGGAACCATGATTTTCATCCAATATTTCCCAAATGCATTTGGGGTTTGTAACATAGTTCGCATGATGACACAGATGTCATGTAACTCATCTAATTTCAAGTCCAGGGAGATGTTATTATAGCTTTTTAATGAAGTTGGTTAACATGCAAGTATTAAAGGTTCTTACTTGAGTGCTTATTTTAATGTGTTATCTGGAGGCCCCTAAAGTTATATTATCCCCAATCTATGTCACTTTTCCATATCTACCTATCTGTCTATCTGTCTCCTGAAGATGGTCCCTAGGAAATGATGTAGAGTAGAGGTCAGTAAGCTTTTTATTAAAGGGTCAGATGGTAAATATTTTTGGCTTTGTGGGCCATACGGTATCTGTCACAACCACTCAGATCTGCTATTGTAGCATGAAAGCAACCATAGACAGAACATAAACAAATGTGTGACTGTGTTCCAATAAAACTTTTTTTATGGACACTGACATTTGAATTCCACATAATTTTTACATATCACAAAATATTATTCTTCTTTTGATTTTTTCCAACCATTTAAAAATGTAAAAACCATTCATAGCTCAAAGACTATACAAGAACAGGTGGCCAGCTGCATTTGGCTTACCAACTATGGTTGGCCAACCCCTGTTATAGAGAGTTCAATGATTTATAAGTGTTTTTCAAAATATTATTTGGTGATTAATGTTGTTGTTTTCACTTGGGAGGTTGTTTGAGTTCAGTAACCATAGATTTCTCACATGGCTGAATATAATTTTAAATGATGGTCTTTCAAAAGTATACCTAATACACATGAGGAAAAATCTGCTCCTGAGTCATGCATATAGAATGCAAGCAGTACCCATGGCTACTTTTTGCTTCTGCAGGGAGAGCAGGCCCTAGAGAAAGAAACTGGGGGAAAAAGTGGTGGGGAAATGTTCCAGATGCTTGAATAGGATGCAGGCTAAAAATTGAAGTCCTGTGTGAGGGAAATGATGGGTAGAGAGATCCTGGAGAGAAAAATGATAAAGAGAACATGTAGTAACTAGGAGAAGGAGAAGAAAATGATGGCATTATGAATTTGATAAAATTGAATGGGGTCAGATGTTGTTGGAGAACATTTGAAGAGAGAGAACAATAGTTGTGCTATTTCTGTAACATTGGTGAAAATCTATTCGTAAGAATTGTATAGAATGTCTAAAAGTCTGCCTTTGCCATGATGTGATGTCCTTTGTCTTTCAAGAAATAATCTTCTACTTTTAAGCACTTTAGTGTTGTATTTTGAAGTTTGAGAAACGATGCTTCTCTAAGTGTCGTCCTGCATTTATTAGAAATGCTAATTCTTGTGCCTCCCCCGAGATGGACTGAGACAAAAACTCTGGGGATATGTCCCAACACTCTGTTTTCTCAAGCCCTCCATGGGATTCTGAGGCACAGCAGTGTTTGAGAACCACTGATTTTGATCACATAAGAGGAACATCAACTTATCCTTCATGCTCCCTTATCAAAAACAGTGTTTACAGTGAGGTTCTAGGGTAGGACTTTTGATGGACACTTTTCACTAACTGCTGTTTTTAAGAGCAGCCACCCGAAGGAGGTGGACAGGAAGAATGTCCCTATTGTAAAGGGAGAGGGAGTTTTTCTTACAAGTAAACAAGATGAAATATTATCCAGGGTGTTGCTTCTGGAACCCAGGGGAAAACAGTTCTTTGTGGGTAGTTGACTTATTCTTTCTTTCTGTCTACACTGTGTAAACTTGCCCACAGAACACTGACTATAGACAGTATTCCATGTTCTTGTCATACTGTTGTGGCTGTAGAATGATGATATAGGCACACATGTCTCTAATTTCATTCTTTCTATCCACTGCTTGTTCTGTGCCAGGAATACACTTCCCTCAAGCTCCTCCTACACAGTGACCGTGTTTCCATAGTAACTTGCACATACAGCTGGAGACTTACACATGAGTTTTAATAACCCAAGGTTTTAAAACTGTGAGACCTTAAGGAAGATGCTCTCACAGAGCATACAAAGAACAGTTTCTTAATATAAATAAACTGTGAATAGAGACATAAAATTGTTCATGGTATATATTGATTATATATATTGCTATTAAAAATGTATTGGGTGCTGTAGTTGTTATAAAGTTAATGTTGATCTACTGTGAGTTGTTGGAGGAAGTATTAATAGTTTCAGATTAAAGCATATGAGGTTTTTTGATGGGACATGAAGACCTTCTTTATTGTGGGTATATGTCATTATGGTGGCCTGCTGGGCAAATTATGTAGTTTGACTTGTATGAACCAGAATAATATCTTTTTTGCTGCACCAGGCTAAAATTAGTTACTTCATTCTCTGTGTGTCCACAACACTCTACTGATTATACCTCTAATAATAATATTACCACTACTAACAAACAAATAGTGAGAACTGTGTACTAACTACTTTACAGTATTCGATGTCATTTAATCCTCAAAACAACCTTGGAAAGTAGATAATATTATTGCACCCATTCTTAACATTAGGAAACTGAGGCTCAAAGAAGCTGTGCAACTTGCCTGAGCTCACACAGCTAAATTTTAGTTGAACTAGGATTTGAACCCAGGAAAATCTGACTTCTGGAGTTCACCTTTCTTGCCAAAGAACCTGTACTTGTCACAGAGCATGGTAATTACTGGTTTATGTAATTTGTGGACTAGCCCTAGACCAAGAGCTCCTTAAGGGCAGGGGCTGGTTTTATTGCTTCCCTAAGAGTTAGAACAATGTTGGCAACATACTTGGGGCTCAATAAATATTTTTCCCAATAAGAGCAGGAATGGATGAATAGGTGAGTAAACAGAATAAACATTCACTCATCCAGTTCTTAATGATGGAAAGAAGAGACAGATGACTTCACACTGGGAAGGTTATTATCCCTGACTTGTGCTATTCATAACCATATAGAATCCAAAAATTCATGATTTAATCATAGTCTTGACTTGTTTCAGATGTTGTCCATCTGCTGTCCCCATTAGTCATTTTTCCCTCTTTTAAAATTTTTCACCATCAATAAAAATAAGCCTTCATGTGTCTTCCAACCACAAGACTCTATGACTGCAGCTATTTTTGAGGTTTTAAGTATGTATAGAGCCCCAGGTGAGACATTCATTTTCTTAGTGAACAAATGTTTCCTAAGTTACTGCTGTGTGCCAAGCACTGATATAGGTGCTTGGGATACGTCAGTGAACAAAACAGACATGAAGTACTGCCCTCACAGAACTTACATTCTAATTGTCGGAGGTAGACAATAAACAATAAATATAATATGTCAGTAAATTATGTAGTATACAAATGGTGTTAAGTGCTACGGAAAAAATAAAGAAGATATTAAGTTGCTATGAAAAGAATAAATGGGAACTAGGAGTGTGGGGCTAAGGAAAACCCTCAGTCACAATTTTAAATAGTATGGTCTGGGTGGACCTTACTGAGGAGAGGAAATGTGCTCCAGGCAGGAGGAACAGTCAGTGTAAAGGCCCTAAGCCAGGAGCATGCTTGGATGTGCAAGAACAATCCAGAAAGCTGACATGGATGGAGTAGATGAGTAAAAGGCAGAGCACACAGAGATGAGATGAGAGAAGGAATGGGGGATCAGATCACATAGGGCCTTGTAGACCATTATAAGAACACTTTTTCTTTTTTTTTTCAGAGACAGGGTCTTGCTCTGTCACCTAGGATAGAGTGCAGTGGCACAACCATAGCTCTCTGCAACCTCCAACTCCTGAGCTCAAGTGATCTACCTAGCCTCAGCTAGGACTATGGGTACATGCCGCCATGCTTAGCTAATTTTTTAATTAATTTTTTTTTTTTTTTTTTGTAGAGACAGAATCTATGTTTTCAAGGCTGGTCTCAAACCTGGCCTTAAGCGATCCTCCTACCTAAGCCTCCCACCTCCCAAAGTGCTAAAATTATAGGCATGAGCCACTTCACTTACCCTATAAGGATGCTTTTGACTTTGAATAAAGGGCCATTGGGAGATTTGAGCAGAGAAGTGACTTGAGCTGATTTGGATATTAAAAGAGGCACTCCAGTGCAGTGTTTAGAGTAAGCTATAGATTGGCAATGGTGGGAGGAAAGACTAGTTAAGAGGCTAGTGCAATAGTCCAAAAGAAAAGTTGTGATGGTTCAGATCTGGGTGAGTGCAGTAGAAGTGATGAAATTAAATAGTGGGTTCTGGAAATATTTTGAGGGCAGGGCCAATAGGATTTCCTAACAAATTGTATATGAGATGTGAAAGAAGTGAAAAGCTAAGGATGCTCTCATGGATTTTGCCTGAGGAACTGAAGAATAGAGTTGCCATCCACTGAGATGGGAAGACTAAGATGGGAATACTAGATTAAATTTGGGCCAAGAGCACAAGTTCAGTTTTAGGTCAAGTTCAGTTTGAAATGTCTATTAGATATCAAATGGTGATATCAAATGGGTGTGTAGGCAGATATATATGTTTGAGTATGGGGTTCAGAAGAGAGGTGTGAGCTAAAGATATAAATGTGGATGTCATCAGCATGTAGATGGTATTTAAAGCCATGATGCCAAACTGTATTCAGGACTTGAGACTGGATGAGATCACCATCTAGGAAGTGAACATACATAGAGAAGAGCATGACCAAGGAGTAAACTCTGGGATACCCCAAATTAAGAGGAGGGGGGAAAGAGGAGGAACCAACAAAGGAAACTAAAAGGAGCAAATGAGGTAGGAGCAAAACCAAGAGAATATAAGATCTTGAAAGCTAAGCGAAACAAGAGTATTACAGAAGAAAGAGTCATCATTTGTACCAATTGCTGATGATTAGTCAAGTTAGATGTGGACAAAAAAGCATTGAAGTTGGCATTGTGGAAGTCACTGTCGATCTCTACAAGAGCAATTTAGGTAGAGCAAACCTAATGGAAGTGGATTGAGGGGAAAATGGAAGAAGAATTCGAGGCAGTGATTGTAGATAACTCTGGGTTGTGTATAGATAAAAGTTAAAATATGGCTCCTGGACCTAGGAATTTATAATTTATTTTGGGGCAATGGGAATAACATATTTTGGGAAAAAACCAGCCAAGAGTACAAATCAATATAGTGCTAAATTGGGTGGAACATTACGTTTGGTACAGGAGGTGTAAGTAGGTGGTCAGCTCGAGGGTGGAGTACTGTGATTAAAAAGAGTGTTTTGAGAAGTTTGATAATTAGCTTATTAGTCAAAGAAATATATGAAGATACTTGCAGTGCTTCTCAAAGTGTTCCCTGAGGACTACCTTATCAGAATCCCCTGGGGTGCTTATTAATAATGCAAGTTTCTGGAGATGCAAGCTAACTACTGAGTCTATGTCTCTAGGGGTGGGATTCTGGATTCTGGATATTTAACAAGCTCCCCAGGTGACACTATAGACAATAAACTTTGTAAATCGCTGGTCTAAAGATTTTATTGAATAGGTTATATTCCTGATTGATGAGATCTCCAGAACACTAGAATTAGGTGAAAAAATGGCATATTGAATATGTGAAAACCCACACTTAACATATACACTTACAAATTTATGTAAGTTGTAAGAAGTTCAATTTATAGTAGTATTCATTTGCCCTGAGGTTAGAGCTCACTCACTTGTTTCAATAATAATTCAGACATCTGAAAGGTTATGGGTCTTTCATGGGGGAGGTGGCTGTCAAAACTATTGTTTTGATGTTGTTACTTATAAATCCAGTTATGTACCGGAGAAAATGGTTGACAAGGTATAGCTGTACCCAGTGTTACATGAGGTTTTTCTGAAGCTTGGGAATTAGTCACTAAGAAAACAGATCTATGGCGACCTGGCTGTTTTTCCAGGGCTGTTCTGGGTTGAGCCTTTCAAATTGCTGTACTGTCACATGAGGCCTCAAGCCTGGCCCTGCTTCTTGGACAATCTGAGAAAGGGGTGGAGAAAAGCACTTTCTGCCTTTGCAAATCAGAAATACTTTGTTGTTTATCACTGTTAACACAAGGAAATAATACATTCCAGCATAGGAGAATCTGCAAGGGAGAACCTCTCTGCTTAGAGTTGTGCCAGGACAGGAAAGTGACAGAGGACATGGTTTATTTTCCTGTTTGCCTCCTTCGGGTAATGCTTTTGGTGATCAAAGACCTCCCCAAGGGTTTGTTGTTTGTCACAAAGTCCTCCTTTCCCTAGCTAATATCCATGGACGTGCTTCTGCTGACAGATCATAAATTAATTTCTTCAGTGCCCAGGCAATCAACTTTGGAAACTTTTCAATCTAGACTTTGATCCCATCTTCAGGCTTCTAGATTGTTCAATTCATGCATAGAATTTTAAGTGCAAATTCCAACCTGTATGGATCTTGTAACAACTTCCTACAAATATTTACTGAGTATTTATAATGTAAAAACTGTTATGTTAGATAATGGTTAATAAGACACAGTCTTTGTCCTCAGAAAATATACTTGTAATGGCTACTTACAATATGGGTGATAAGGGCTATTAAAAAAAAAGGCAGGTCTGTAATATTCATTATAGCATTTGAAAGGGAAAAGTTAATTTTTCCCTTGAAGGAAGTTGGGGGATGCCAGGGAGCTGAGCTGGAGGAATAAGTCAGGAAGGGGAGGATGTGGGCTAGAAGACAGAGAGGCAGTGGGCATGAACCAGTGGGTGGTGAAGCAGGGAAGCAGCCCCAGGCATGGGCAGAACACACCTTCTGCATTTCTTGGGCAATAGGGCTAGGTGTTTGCATTTCTTTCTGACTTGATTACTGTGATTGTTGACCAGCCTTGTCACTAGAGAATAACTGGTTAATGTGGCTGCTTTGAGCAGTGTGTATGTGACATTTATTTTGGATACATTTTCCCAGTGTGTTACCTAGGACATACAAAGAATCAGAGATCTTTTTGGCCAGGCACAATAGCTCACGCCTGTAATCCTAGCACTCTGGGAGGCTGATGCAGGAGGATCACTTGAGACCAGGATTTTGAGGTTGCTGTGAACTATGGTAACAACACTGCGCTCTAGTTGGGGCTACCGAGTGAGACTCTATCAAAGAAAGAAAGAAAGAAAGAAAGAGAATCAGAGATATTTTAATACGCTCAGAAAATTTCTCTGGATTTAGATTTAGAACCTTAATAAGAAGATGGCTGAACTTTTTCACTTCAGAGTTTATGCTACTATATTAAAACCATAGCACACCTTTTGCAGGCTTTTTTTTTTACATATATAATGTGTGAAAGATTACTTGATAATGCATAACCCTCATTTCTCTTCCATTTAGCTATGGCGATGTAAGCAATATACTCCGTTTTTTTGCAAAACTAATCACGGACAAATGTGCTGACGTGGACAGACTTTTTGTTATTTCATATTTTCTCAGTGATGACACAATGCAAGTGTTTGAACCTATAGAGAAGAATTCAGGTAAGAAATACACCTCTCATAGTAATTTTTCTCAGAACATTTAACTGTCTCTTCATTTTGAAAATTAGGGAATAGGATCTGATTTTGTAGCCTAGATAATTTATGATAGTGGCTTTTGTTTTCTTTTTTTTAAACCAATAGAGTTTTTTTTTACAAAGATGTCTTAAATGGGAGCCCAAACTTATGAAATGATAAAAGAGAAATAGTTTTGGTTGGCTCAGGGCCAGGGGACCTGGGATACCCGCCTTTTGCCACTATCCTCTCTTCCTCTGTAGCCTCAGAAACATCCAAGGGCCTCAATATCATGATCTGGCTACCACTAGTCCCACTCACAGCCAGCAAGCCAAGACTGTACTCTTGATAGTCCTGCTTACAAATATCTTGCTTGAATATTATATAAGACAGTAATTTCAGATATACAAATACAATTTTCAGGGTCTATCTTTCTCTGACCCTTTTGTCTGTTGAAGATGTTGCCAAGGATCCAGCACCTAGGCCCTCAGAATTGTTTTCTGCAGTGTGCCAATACCATAGCTATTGCTGAGCACAGCCATTGACTTACCAAAGCATGGAAATATAGGACTCTATTCTTTTTCTCAACATGTTTAATACTTTAATCTGTGCTGAAAACACACATTTGGGAAAAATAATGAGTGATGTGCTGGTTAACCAGTTCTTTGAAAAGATTTTAAAAGCCCTGATTTGTACTATTTTCCAATTTCCATAGTGTGAATACCCCAACCATGGCCAATGTCAAACAGTCAACAGTTTAAAAACTGGCTTGCAAAATCTCTGAAAATTTAACAGTCAGCTCCTATGAACTGATATGGGCCACTTGGCATACCAATGAGTAATAAATAACTTGTATAGCTAAGTCAGGCTCCATGGTGGTTTGAATAATAGATCAAATCTTAAAATAGGATGTCAAATAGGGATGACTATAAGTCAGGCTCTTATAGGTCAAAAAATCTACTCTATACATCCAGAATGGGGAAGATATTGTCAAGCAAATTGCAGCATGTGTAGGACAGAAAGGGTGATAATAGTCAACTACCAGCTTACTAGTAATAATAGCAGCCATGATTGAGAACCTAATATCCTTACAAGAACCTTATGAGGTTAACTATCATGTTAGTCCAGGTCCTCCAAGAAGCAAATGCAGAGACAAGATTAAATGTGCATGAGATTTATTAGGGGAAATGCTGCTGACGGAAAATATGGAAGAAGCCAAAAGAGGCCAGGAGACTGCAGGTCTGACTCCTGTGAAGGACAAAGGGAAGGAAGGAAGGGGGAGTCTTGGACTGCGGTATAATTCTTAGAAAGTTTTGGCAAGGCTGATGGAGAGTCCTTGAGGCCAAGTTGGTAGTTGGAGGAGCCTTTGTCTTGCAGGAGTGGGCCTGTCTTAGTATCCCTGCCTTGCTTAATCAGCTGTTTGCAGCAGCCTGTGGGAAGTGTGACCTTGGCACACACCCAAGGATACATGACTGGCCACAGTAGCTGGGACCTTCTATCAGTTACATTCCCCACCACAGGTGATCTTAGAGGTACATTTTTTGCGGCCCACACACATTTTATTCCCACTTTACCAATAAGAATTCACAGAGTTTCAGAGAGATTAACTCCTACAGATAATCTGGCAAGCAAGTGTGAGAGCCAGGATGGAATGCAGCTCTATTTGGCTCCAAAGCCTGTGTCTTTCCACCACCTATGGTTTCTGCCTGTGGTAGGAGGAGTGGGATGAAGCTGACCAAAAAGCTCATTTGATCTCAGACTGTTTTTGTAGGTCTGTAGATTTCAGTTCAGTATCAGAAAATACTGGAGTCCCCTGGTCAACTCTGCTCACTGCTTTCCAAGAGGTCAAAAAACAAATAATGCCCAGAAGAGAACAGACAAAATGGTGAGAATTCTGGAAATTAAGACATATAAGGCATTACTAAAAGAGTCAAAGATATTTTACCTGTGTGGGGGGGTGAAAGTTAAGGGGACTTCCATAGTTATCTTGAAACACTTAAGTAACCTCCTTTACAGTAAGACACCATCTGGAACAAAAAGGTGGAAATAAGCACAGATGAGGAATTTTTTAACTGGTACTGTTCAAAACTTATTCTAAAGATAAGTATCTTCCTAATGTCCCACACTCCCAGTATGCTGCTGGGCATATATGGAAGGTCCTTGCCAAATGTTTATTGCACAGGGAAGGGAGCAGAGAAAGGAAAGAAAAGGCTGCGATGCCATTCTGTTGTTTTCTTGAACACATTCACCTAGGAAGTCTCATTTCTTCACCACTGCCTCATTCTTCCCTTAAGTCTGAGAATAATAGGCAATTTGAGTTCACAGGTAAGTTGTACAGTCTGTTTGAAGACGAAGTAACTCTGAAGGCAAGTCAGGTGGTTCTCTTAAGAATAAAGGCTACTCATGAACTTTTCCCTTTTTCTATAGGGATTGCTGGTGGGAAATTCTTAAAAAGAAGCCGTGTAAAGAAGCCTGGACAAGAAATCTTTAAAAGTGAACTATCAGAATATATCAAGGCTGAGGAGCTGTACGTTGGAGCCACAGTGAATATCAATGGCTACCTATTTCTTTTGCTCAATGCTGATGAGTACACCTTAAACTACATGGAGAAGAATTCAGATAAGGTGAATTTACTTTGTGTAATTCCTGACTTGCCTTTCAGCCCTCTGCAATCTGTGTTTTTCCTTCTCTAGGGCCTTTACTTCTTCCTCTTGCCACTGGTTTTATATTGTGCATTCACACATGTGAGCATGAATAATGGATCCGTGTGACTTGGCCACAGGTCCCATCACAGAGGCCAGGTCCTTGTCTACTTTGCTTACACGCTGGGTTCTCTGCTGCCCAGCATCACGGATTCCAGGCACAGGCAGGAGGCAGGGCCAGGGTTGAATCAAGTTTCCTGGGTTTTCTGCTGATGCTAACAATGTTTTCAGAAAGAAATTAAACAACTATAGGAAAGGAAGAAAATCTGGTGCCACACACTGTGCCGTCCCAGTTAATTGGCAGAGGCCAGCAAAGAGGGCCAAGACTCGAACAAACAGAAACCCCAAGGGAACCCAATAGTTGCTGTGATTGCAACTTCTCATAAATAACAGTAGCCACCTAAGGCCTAAATAAGAATTTAAGGAGAAATTGGCAACAGTGAGCTCAAAGAGTTTTTTTTTTTAATTTGAAATAAGATGGCAGATGGGTACTGTTACTGAAAGTGCTATTATGAAGATACTGTTCAGTAAAAATAGCATATTGATAAAATCTTGATTTTAAATGTGAAATGATTCAGTATACAAACATGTATATTTGGGAATTATTGTTGAATATTAAAAGATCTATCTGGAAAACTTTATTTTAAAAGTCTATCTCTAAATAATATGTATACCTCATTTATATACATATAGTACCAGTTTTATCTCATTTATATATAAAATGCCCAGGGTTATGTTGCTAAAATCCGTCTCTCTGAGTGTATCACATCATTCATATCAGTTTGGGTCCTCTAAGAAGCAGATGCCAAGACAGAATTAGATGTGCAAGAAATGTATTGGGAGAAACACCTCTTAAGGCTAAAGAGGAAAAGGGGAAGAGACCAGGAGGAGGCAGGTCTGTCCTCTGTGAAGGGAGAGGGGAAGGAAGAAGGGGTGGGGAAGCAGAGGCTCAGCCAGCAGTGCAATTCTGCTAGGCCCATGGGGAGCACCAGAACATAGACTCCCCAAGAGAGGGCCCCTGTCAGGTAGGAGTAGCCCAGCTCTAGTCCCCCCCTCCACTGTGCTCTGTCATCAGGTAGGAACAGCCTGAGGAGAGGGTGGCCTCGGCAGGGACACTGCATGTGAACTCAGTGTGGACCTGGAAGGTGTGGCAGCTGGAGGCTATCAGCGAACAGTGCTCTTCTCCACAGGGTCTCTCTTGACAGGAGGCCTGGGCAGCACCCTCCATGGCTGCCATGCCATCTCTCCATTTGTAGTGTTAGCAGTTCAGGTTATCATAAAACCATGAACCAGTAGTTATTCAAAAACACTGAATTCAGATGAGAAATTCAATAATTGGGCAGTTAGATTTTGGGAGACCAGCAGACCTGGCTTGGAAACCTGACTCCACAGTTAATAGCTGAGTCACCTTAAACATGTATCTTCCCCAAGCTTCAATGTCTTCTTATTTGAAATGGAAGTGCCTATTTCATGGAGTTGCTTTGAATATGAGATATGATAATGCGTGTGAAATGCTTAGCTCTATGTGGCCAATAGCAAGCTCACTGTAGCTACTGTATATTAGGGTTGTATTTCCAAACAGAAGGTGAACCTGTACCTTAATGTAAAATATATATAGCATGAATATAAGATATAAAGGACTTTTCTCCTTTCAGAATAATAAAAGCAGGATAGGGGATTGTCTGGTATCAGCATCCCAAGTGAAAATTGCATGATTTTAAAACTACCCTTAGCAAGCACATTTTAAGATTAATATACTCTTTAATATCAGTCTGAAGAGTCTTTTTAAAAGGGCTAATAGATCCTATCATGCAAATAGATAAAAGGAAATGCAAAAAAAGGTGTGTGGGGGGTAGCGGGGGAGTAGGGGCCTGCGATAGGTACCAAACCACCTGGAGCATTTTCTGGCGGAAGAGAGGGAGCTTTATACTAAATTACCATCAGTGTTTTCATTTAAAAATTTTGTCCTTTCATTTTTGACCTCTTAGCTATAATTATTTATAACCTTATGCTCTATTGGATGAAATGAGATATATTCTTACTAAGTCAAAAAATGAATCACATGGTAGGAGACAAGAGCAGTGGGCTGCACAGAGAATGAATGTACAGGGGTTACAGTGCCTGTGTGGGTCTTTGACACTCAGCCTTGCTCTGATCACTGCATCACCTAATGGTCAAAAGTTCCAGAGGGGCCCATTCTAAAGATCTAGAGAACACGGAAGTCCACTTATCCAACTTTAAATCCCCATTCTCTCCATTAGGGTCTCCCAACATATTGGGCCGATGTCTTAGGGTTACAGGGAGAAGGCTGAGATGGAAGCAGGGGTGGCTTTCTGACATCTGTGAGCAACTGTCCCTTAAACTAATTTCTCTCAGATCTGGGACCTATGCTAATGTCACCTGTTGTCCGGAAGCTTTAACAGAGGAGATAAAAAGCTAGTCATATCTTCTTGGTGTTGGTTTCTTTGGAAAGACATGCCTCCTAACTTCAGGTTCACAATGTGAAGTCTCTTTGCTGACCGTCAGAAAGATTTGGCTCCCAAAGTCTAAGGCATATTTAAAAATGTCTTTCCTCTCATTTTACCTTTATAGTTTCCTTTCAGCAACTTTGAACTTGCCCTACAAAAGGTGAAAAATGAAGAATCAAAATCCATAGAAATCAAGCAAGTATTTACAGCTGCTGACTGTAAGCACACAATGATGGTGGATTATAATGCATTCAGGTAAGCCATATCTGCTAGCCATAATCTGTTTTCCTCTCAAGAATGTCCAAAGAACAGAAAGAACAATTTCTTTTCTTGTGCTTCCTAATTAGTTGCCTACATTTTTTACTAGGAATTGTCATTTCTTTGCACTTGTATTAACTTTGTTGTCAAGCTTTGGCCGTTAATGTAATAAATTTTGTGCATTTGCATATAAAAGAAATTTATAGGTGGGAACCGAGACACACAAAAGCATAAAGTCAGTTGGTCACATTGGCTTGTGAATCATGGTGTTGAAGGATCAGGGGAATGCCAGGAATGGTACATCTGAGTGAGAAAGACAGAAAAAAAATGCAGCTTAGAGCACCCTTCCAAAATCTGGGAGATAAAAGAAGGACATCTCCCTAGAAATGTGATGAAGTTGGAAAAGACAGTGTAAAATTTTACTGCTGATCACAGCAAAGGTGATAAGTATACATATGTGTATATGCATGCTCACACACATATATATATTCTGAAAGACATAAAAATATAGGAATCAAGGGAAAAATTTATGACAGTAGTTAGAAATATTAAATCATGAACAATAAAGATTTTCTCTAAGGTAAAGCTGAATTCTGGGACTATCCAGTGGCTGACCTAGGCAAATTTCCAAACAGTGGAAACACAGGGAAATTCAAATTCAGAGTCTAGTACAATTGTGAGACTTCTTAGCTTGAAAACAAAGTGAATGGAGCGTTCAGGAGAATGTCAATTAAATCATGGATGGAGGACAAAGGGGACTTTCTCTTTAGGCTGAAAATTCTGGCTCCTGAAAACAATAGTGGCTGAAATCTACATAGTATAGTAAACTTGGCTGATGCAGTCAAGATGTGGGCTGAGAAATGAGGAAGTGAGCCCAGGAGACAGGCAGGGAGGTCTTTCCAACTTAGTGTCTGCAGTCGCCTGCCTATTGCATCACTACCTGGTAGCCTGGAGCCCACCATTAGGCCCAAAGTGTCCCAAGAGCTCATTTGTTATTTTAACAAAACTCTTTTGTGTCTCCAAAATGTTCTTTTGAGAGAAGCAGTCAGAGGACATATTTTTATTGTTTAGAATTCCCAACCTTCTGGGATCAATAAGAATTTACAGTTCTTTGTTATTGTTCATAGTCATATACACATGTTCACGGTATTTTGGAAAAAAAATGGAGACAGAGTAAAGAGCAAAGACAATTACTCAGGCTGCAGGCTAATGGAAAGCAGTGGAGGAGAAAACAAGAAATTTCCATCAGAAATGAAGGAGTGGTTTCATTTTATTATTTTGTGTCCTTTTACAAAAGCATTCATTCTCCCAACACTCTCACAAAGTCTATTGGAAACACTTTAGTGAGTTTATGGGGCTTTTTGGGAAGCACTTAGACCAGGCAGTGGATCCAAGGAGGAAAAGTTGCTCTGCAGATGGAGGCCCGACCCTGATTGTGGGTGGGATAAAAGACCGCCACACTGTGTGATTGGAGGGGTGGCCTCAAGGTGCTGCATGCTCAGAAAGAAAGATCTCCCCATCACAGAAATTCCTTAAGATGAAAATCAGATCAGGTTATACCAGGCCTGAAAAATCCTTCAGTGGCTCGGTCTTGTCTTCACAATAAGATCCAAACATTTGACTGCAGCCAGCAAGGCCTTGAGTGATATGACACTGTTTGTATTTCCAATGTCATCACTTCTTTGTCTCCAGCCCTGTTTGTTGGCCTCGCTGCCTGTCTTTTGGTTTTCAAACACTTCAAGCTCCTTCCTGCCTCCAAGCCTATGCACATGTAGTTCCCTCCGCCTCGAATGCCCTCAGCACCATCCTTCTCATGGCAAACTCTCAGGCTCCTTTCCAATGTCAGCTCCCCAGAGGAGCTTCCTTTCTCTGATTATCCTATCTAAAGTAGATTACCCACTGTTATTCTTAGCCCCTTGTTTATATTTTTCACAGCACTTAGCACAACTTGCAGTTTTATGTAGAGATCTATTTACTTGGGGGGGGGGGTGCATGTGTGTGTGCTATGTGTCTTCTCCTATAAGAATGTGAGCTTTCTGAGGGCAGGGACCTTGATGGTCCCATTCACTGCAGTATCCCTGATACCTCGTTCTGGGCTCTATACATATATATGATCACTGAATGAAATCATGAACCACTAGAGTTATTCTTGGGCATTCTAGTTTGGAGGTGGTGGTGTGGCCTCCCAACAAGAGTGTAGACCAGGAGCCCTAATGTCCTGGTCCCTATGATGTGCTCTGTGTTGGGTGCCAAGCCCTCTGTGCTTGGCCCACAAGTGTAGGTCCCTGCACCTTGTCTTAAGCCTTCTCTTTTGCTTCTCACGCTCTTTCCTGGGCAAAGACAAAGGAACTATGTCGCTATCATATGACATCCTAATTTAATTCTCATTGCTCATTGCTTTCACGAGCAGATATTTTTGTTTTATTTATGTGTGAATGTGTACATGTGTATTCTGGTTCCTCTCACCAGAATGCAACCTCTTTGAGTGCAGAAACCTTCTCTCTCTTGTTTTCTGCTTTAGCCTTATCACTTACCACAGTGTCTGGCAAACAGTAGGGTGTTAATAAGTACTAGTTGAGTGGATACATTTTATTTAGCCCCCACTGCTTTGACTCTGACCTGTAGGTTGATGTCTCCATATTAGTTCCTCAAGCTCAGACCTTTCTCCTGAAATATAGGCCAGGAAATCTGAATACCTCTGGGACATGTCCCCCTAGGATGTCCCTTAGGCATCTCAAAATAACTTTCCCTAAATTGACCTCATTTTCATCTTTCATAAAGTTGCAGCTGGAGACTATATCCTGGTAAAGGCCACCATATGCCCAGGCCAGGGATCTGCCTTGTCTTTTTACTCTCCCCTATCGTGATCTCTCCCACCCACCCTTTGGAATTCTCCTTTTCTTGGAGGGGGGAGGCGGACGGAGTCTTGCTCTGTTGCCCTGAGTAGAGTACTGTGGCATCATCATAGCTCACAGCAGCCTCAAACTCCTGGGCTCAAGCAATCCTCCCTCCTCAGCCTCCTGAGTAGTTGGGTCTACAGGCATGTGCCACCACACCTGACTAAATTTTCTATTTATATTAGAGACAGGGTCTTGCTGTTGCTCAGGCTGGTCTCAAACTCCTGAGCTCAAGCGATCCTCCTGCCTCAGCCTCCCAGAGTGCTAGGATTATAGGCGTGAGCCACCGTGCACAGCTGGAATGATACTTCTTAAACTGCCTCTGGAAACTTCCCCTTCTCTCCATCCTGAGTTCACTGTTGCAGCTCTGCTTTTCATCACTGTTCACTTGGACCCTCTGGAAAGCTGTGTAACTGATCTCCTTTTCTTAACTCTCATCTTCCAATGTTTTGCCAGTGTGACCTTCCTAAAATCTTATTGAATCATTCCTCTGCTCTAAATCCTGCATCAGTGTATCATATGAGTTTGCCTACCTCTCTCCCCTTATTTCCATCTCACTAGAAGAATACTGTTGTAGTAGCCACCATTTATTGAGCACTTACTATGGGCCAAGCACTGTGCTGAATGCTTTACATTACTGGTAGCTTCCTGTTGAGTTGTTACTTGTTTACTTCCCTGCCTCCACATCAGCTCCTGCCAAGTACAATAGATGTTTGTTGAATAATTTAATGAATGATCCTACTTCTTAAGGAACATTCAGTCTAAAGCTTGCAGCAAACAAGTAAATAATTGATTACCTTGAACCAGGGAAGGGCCATCTGGCTCTGACTAGGGAAATCAGGGAAAGTTAGGCCTGACTTGCACTAGCCAAGTGACTTGGGCAACTCATTTCACCTATCTGCACCTCACTCTTTTGTCTATAAATTGGTCTCTGAGGTCCTTTCCAGGCTCTGACAATCTGAAACTCTTAAAATGTAGGTTTATAATTCACTTGTAAATGTTCCCTTTTTAAATTTTAAAAATGTTCCCTTCCCGAAACAGTAGAGAAAAATAGAGGCAGGCAGAGGCAGAATTGCAGCATAGGCCTGTGGGCTTCACTTTTGTGGCCCTGATACTCTCTCCTGCTTAGATACCTCGCACTATCAGTAACTCTTGGGCCTCAGAGCCCAGACCTGCTGCTCTGAAAAGTGGTCCAAGCCCCTGGCATTGCCTTTCTTCCTCTCAGAGATTTGCATCTTCTCTCAGGAAAACCTTGAGGACAAGAGCTAATAAACTACATCTGGATAAGGTGCCATGGTTGATAATGAATTAATGTGTTGTCTTCCCTGCGATATTTGCCCAGAAGTGACCTGATGGAATGCAGAGACAGGTGGTCATCAGATAACAGATGTAGGGAAGGTTTCTCTTTTTTCATTTAGGTAGGGGACATTTCCCTTTTGCTGTGACAAGGTCACCACTTTTGCCTCTAGGCTGGACCATTTTCTCTGGGACTCTTTGTTCACAGTGTGTCAGATTCATCTATGAGAGCTGCTGAGTGTTACCTGAAAGAGTGCAGAGAGCCCTTCTCAGAGGCTCGGGATACCTGGCGATGGGCAAATTTCAGCAGGGAGCAGGGCAAGGACTAGGCTTGGTGGGGCTAGTATTTCATGCACTTGGGAACAGGGACAGGGTGGTGCTTCCTGGTGTGGGGCCTGGATTCTGAAACACAGGCAGCCGCAGCAACAGCAGTGAGGGCCCAATGCCAGGGAAGACATGGTCAGTCACTTCATCTGGCTACTTCCTTGAGCCTTGATCTACCCATCAGAGATTGCACTTGACCCCATGTATCCTGTGTGTATTTTGGTTATCTGTGTGCTCATCTCTTCTCCCCACGTGGGGGAAGCTTTCAGAGGGCAGGGTCCATGCCTGGTTCACCCTTGTGTCTTTCCCAGACATCGCCAGAACACAGTGTATCAGGCCTCAGTGATCGTAGTGAATTGTATATACACTTCTTTTCAGACTCCTGTTATCAACTGCAGGGTCAGTAGTTCTCCTGTGAACATCCATGTTATAAATTTCCTCTAAGATTTAGAGCCTGGAGAAAATTTTCTCTCTTGTAAA